CCTTTTTCATTTTAGGGAAGATAACCTATTGAAAAGTCTTTTAACAGCATCGGCTACATACCTCTAACAATAAAACACTAACCACTGCAAACTGCCTGGTGAAACCAGGGCAGCAACCAAGATCCTTTCTAAAGAGAGCAATTTACTCACAAAGCTGCACAGTCATTTTAAGGACCAGAAGAGAAATATTCAAGGATCCAGAGTATCAACAAGGTCAGTAGCCAAACGTCCTCTGCAATGTCCTCACTGCTGGGGCTTTGGCCAACTGTATTACAAAGATTGTCACCAGATACGTGGCTCCTAATAGACAGACTTCCATACCAGGACTCCCGCTCAGAGTCACTGTAAACAAGGGAAGGGTTATTTTTTATATATATTTTTCAAACTATAGCTAGAATCTGTCTCATTTTAACAAATCACTCCAAATAGACAAGCTGGAAATGGCACCACAGTTTAAGAGACTCTCACAATAAGATTTCCTATCAGCAGGTCTGTAATTTCGGCTGTGGCACCTTGCATGCTATTCACCTTGCTCACAGAAAGCATCATTAAGGGAAAGGTTTTGTAGGCTTGTTAATAAGTGTACAAATGGGGCACTCCAAAGGGACGGCAGAGCCAGACCAGGAGCGCTCCAGAACTCCAGACAAACAAATCTAGGAAACCCACGCAGGTGTGACTGAATCCTAAGGAAAAGGAGGCATTTGCACACATTTCTAACATGCTGTTTTCTAGCCAGAATGTTGTATTAACAGAACTGGAGAGTTTGCAGCAGGGATGTTGTTAAAACTAAAGCCAGACCAAGGACCTGGAGTTTGCTCCGTTCCCAATCTAGGTCCTGCTGAGCTGCCAGCTAAGTTCCCTTTCTGAAAGCACCAAGCTGCACCTCGTTGCTACCACTGCAGTTGGCTGTGTGTGGAGCAAGAGCAGGAGCCAGATCATACACCTCAAGGTGTTCTAGGAGGAGCTGAGGGGTTAGGCCACACAGTCCCTTAGTCACTGCAAGGATTTACGACGAATAGCTGATGGAGGAGAGCGATTGTCATCTGCTGTACTGCAGTTCAAAAAAAACAGACTGGTGAGAGACAGAGATAGGCTGACCCCATACGTAACAGAGCATGTCACCACCTCGTCAAGGTGGATGACTCCTCTGCATGAGTACACTCAGCCTTTCAGGTCCAAAGCAATTACATCAAGCTCAATTTATTGTTCCACCCTCCCCCAGGCGCTTGTTCACCTGCAGCAGACACTTCAATGCAGCAGCATCCAATCTGCTGCATCAGGCCTGAGTAAAATTTAGTCCCAGTACAAGAAAAAATTATCCTTCGAATACAAACTACATCTGAGATGAAAAGGAAAAGCACACTTACTTTTTGATCTCCTCCTCTACCGCATTCACCCCTTCTGTTTGAGGGTTCTGGAATTTGTTAGTAGCACTTCCAAAGTCACACAGGACATAGTGGCCACGGTCATGCAGCAGGATGTTTTCAACCTACGAGCATCACAAGTAGAGAATCGTTCAGCCAAAAAAAATTCATTTTCTTTAGATGAGCCAGGGTTTTGGTGCCTGAAGCCATATCAGACACGTCTGACATGAAAGCATAACATGACAGCAAAGAAAATACGCATCCAATCTCTGTCACATCTCCTGAAATAGAAGTCAAATCACGAAAGCATAGTTGTAACATCCTGCCACCTCTCCCTTCTCCTTTTGCAAGAACACCACCTCGCCTCTGCTGAGGCTACTACGTGCTTCAGGACGAAAACTGTGTCTCTAGTGCTCAACTGCCCTGAGCTACTATGACCCACAGTCTGGCATCCAAATTCGGGACAGGTAACACAAGCTGTCCACAGCTTTCCAGAGGGCTGTACCCCTCGCTGGCACATGGGGCAGAGAGGAGGCACATGGAGGACAGCACACACTTCTGTACTTTATGAAATTATTACACATCTCCAGTTCTTTGCCTGCATTTCACCTGTCCCTTCAGGTCTCTTTCAAAACAAACCTCAGCTCGTGCTCACACTTTAGTTGCTTGTTATCAGAATGTGTTGCGTACCCCACGCTCCCTGAAGAGCAAGAGGTTCCTCCAGGATGCTGAGAAAATGACCCCTTTCTTTCTAATATTGTTTGGTACCTTGAATCAGACAACTGAAACAAATGCTGAAACAAACACCTGGGACAGCTGAAAAAAAAACAACATCAGCAAAGTCACTGCCTTTCCCCTGAATACTCACACTTAATCATGCATTAACAAAAAAATCTGGCTTGCATCCACCTAAGAAAACTGTCTAAATGTTACGACACTGACAAAAAATGTGGAGAAACCTGGGTTCAGCTCTTCGCTTTGGCAGAGCATCTCTGTATTCCAGCTCCTGATCTGTACAGTGGCATTAACAGCATGTTCTCTCAAGGGAACACACACAATTTTTAATGTATTTATCTTCAATCAATGTCAAATGCTCAGTTACAACAACGAGATACAACACACTGCTCATATATTTCAAAAAAAATCACCACATAAGCGTTCACTAACAAAACCTTTTGGAAGTAGACCTCCCCATCAAGGCTGATCTTTACAAAAAGAAAAGAAAAAGGAGTCAGCATTTTAAGCATCAGAAAATGCAGCCAAATGAGAGCAGCTGAGGGTGGAAAAGCTGGCTTGAAACCAAGGGTTAACCAACACCCCTTCCCCCTCTGCTATCCATCTGCTTTGAATAAAGCATCGCACACAGATGTTCTCCCCAGCACATCAACACTGACAGGGTTATTCCCTATTCCCTGCAAATACTCGTCCAACATTTCCAGAAGAGTCCTTCCCTTTTATCAGGCTGGGAAGTCTGAAGTGACTCCTCACTGAACCATCCTGCAAGTTTTGTTAACATCAGCACTGGACCATCCAGCAAGTAGCCTTCTTCAGTAACCTCCAGAAAAAGAAAAAAAAAAGAAACAGCAAACCAAAGTACCTGAATCACTGCTGCTGACCGCCAGGCCAGAGAAGACTGTCTTTTAGGAGAGTCTGGAGGCACCTTCTTCCAGTCAAACACTCGGAAAGCTGCAACCCCGGTTCCAGCACTGCTGAGCGCTCACAACTCTGGCCACAGTTTTCCACACGCCCAACACTTACAGAGTCAGATTTAGACCCCAAACAAGAATGTTTAAGGGAAACTACGAACTGCCGTAAGTTTTGCTAGTTATAGAATGGAGCCAGCTTCTGTCTCTACTCTCAGAAAGGAATGTCTGTCTTTGCTAAAACCAGAAGCAAAGTTGTAAAAACACCGTACAGACTGGCGAGGGGTAAGGAATTAGGCTTTAACGAGCAAAATCAACACATTATCCTCTCGTGGGAGCAATGGCTCCTAAGGCTGGTATTTCTAAGTTCAGGTGGCGATCTGGGAGGGATGCGTGACCAAGGTACACTTTCTGACTGCTTTCCAGCACCCTCAGGTCTCTTTAGAGATGTTTCAACTTCCCTTCCTCCCCGGCACCATTTACTATTTACTTCTGAAAGCTTGTTTGGTGTTTCACAGCAAAGAAATGAACACAACGGGACATCTAAGAGCACTAACTGATTCTGACACAGGCATATTCTAAACATAGTCGATACAAGGGTTTACCAGGAGAGGACTGGATAATTTCACATGTCACACACTGAACACAGAGCCACACAAATTCCAGGCAAAGACTTGCTGATGGCATCAGGGCAAGACCAGGTGTTAAAAAGGACGATGGAAGAAGGCACAGTAACGACAGCTGCACAGCGCGACTGGCTTATCACACCACAGAGAAGTGCAACACTGGCAGGACTCCTGCTAAAGTGAAAGCAGAAGAAACTAAATCCTTAACATGAGAGCACAACCTTCTGGTTATTTCAGAAAGCAGGGAAAGGAGAGGAGAAAGATGTCTTGATAAACAGCATCCTCCGGGCTGACTGACATGGTATTTTGCTGTATCCTGCTGTGTGTCTACTACCAGAAAATTCAGCCGCTCATCGGCAAGCCACTCATCTGCTGCTGGAGCCAGACGGGTTCAGAGTGGCAGAAGCATCACAGGTAGAAGTGGGAAACCTCTCGCTGCAGAAAGCTCCCAGCTGTCTAAACCAAAGTTGGCTCTAAGCTGGTGCTTTGAACAACACAAGTTAGAGACTGTGAGATTGGAAAGACAACGTTAAATATAAAACAAGGTATGCAAACAACTGCCACCAGGTACAGAGTAGTTGTGTAAATTGTTACCATCAGCCCCAGATAGATGTTCCCCTTCCTCCACCTCACTAAACCCAACTCTCCTCTGGGATCTGACAGTTGCAGTTTCGCTGCACAGATTCCAACTTTGGAGCAGAGACTTCACAGCCAGGGTAACATCACAGCCAGCCACAAGAAGGTTTGGCCATTTGTTCTTCACTGTTAAAAGGCCTAAACCAAAGATATAGGAAGTGTTCTTACTGCCAAGGGAGGAGAACAAAAATAAACCTTTTAGAGAATGTCCTGCAGCAGCAACAGCCTATGAATCCTGAGGGGGGGCGGGGAATATCTGCAAGAAGAAGCAAAGGTAACCTCGCAAAGCACGCCTCCCGCCAGCAGGCTTAGGCTGCCCCTGCAGGGCTCCTAACCAGGGCAGAGGCAGCACAGGTGGCTTCCTCATTTTTAGGAAAAAGCAGCATCAATATATGCCTGTTTTTGTGGCAGTCAATCAAACACGAAACTAAACACCACACCCTGTACAGCACATCATGCAGCGGTAAGCACACAGGGACAGACTGACACAGCACCCAAGAGTTAACCATCAGCTCAGGAAGGAAAATTTTAATAAACACACACAGGGATGACAATCTATCTTTATCATGGCCCTTACTCGCAGTGAAATGCCCACTTTTGCCTATAGGCACACTGCTTGAAGGTGCTGCTGTCCCCAGCTGTCGGTCACTTCCCAGCAGTTGGAGACTGTGCCAGCAGGAGGCTGTTCTGCTTCAGGCAAAGCCTGTTGGGTGAACTTCAACTCACAGCCACAGGCTGCTGAAACTAGTCCAGCTGCGCTCCTCTGAAAGGGATTAAAGACTATTCACACCATCCCTCTGCTGGCAGAGCCCTCTGCGCAGGAACCTCCAGCATTACAGCAGCATCAAAGAGCTGGAAGGCAAAAAAAACCTCCCATCTCCACGCAGCCGGCTGCAGAGTCAACATCTGCCCACCCGCCAACAGGGTTATGTCCACCCCAACAAAACACTTACCCGACGGTTGCCTTTCCTTAAATTTAGAACTTGTACAAAACTTTTCCAGCCCTTAATCTCTCTTGGAATTGCAGCTCCCCCTGGGCATTATTAAATTTGAACTCAAATATTAAGTTAAAACACATCTAAATAATTCATTCTGTGTTAGTACTTAGATCCCCAATTGTGACTGGAGCTCCAGAGGTCATCATGACAGAAATAATACAATATTCAACTGGGAAATATGCCTCAAAGCAGGGAAGAGCCAACTCTCTGACCCTGGGCAGAGCTTACCAAGCAAAAGCCAGGCCTTGCAGAAACTTTCCCGGTCTAAGCACGCAGCAGCGAGCTGGACATCAGACCGTGACAGTTCCATTTCAATTGCAACCCAGCATAGAAAGTAACCCTGGAGATCAACTCACTCATCCATCACAGATGTCCCAGAATTCATTCATATGCCACACAATGAGTTTGTTCTTTATTTTAAAACCCCCCAGGGATTCGCCAAAAGGTAACAGCAGGGGTTAATATCAGCTGCAGAGCTCCCTGGTCCTAAGCCTCATCCCCTCACACCACAATTCCTTGCCTATACCAACGCTTGCAAGACACCCCCAGACCTCAGCAGCTTTAAATCCAGGCCTCAAATTGATAAGACTCCACCCGTTTCAAGCAGATGTCAGGCTTGTTTCACATATTCCAACTGACTGAGCAGTGGGGTCACAAACACACTCAAGCATATCAAACCCTGAGGATTTTTTTCCCCCTGCACTACCTTGCCCTTGTTGGCACATGCGACATCTTTAGCTCCGATAAAACAACGGCCGGGGCATACTGCTGCTGCAGGCTCTGAAAACAGAACCTGACCCACAGAGCACATCTGAACTTCACGTGCACACAGGAGCCTCCTTCTTGGCTGAATATATTATTCAGGTATTTTATGAGCTGGTTGAGAGGAAAGGGAATGTCTTTCTGTTTGTTTGTTTGATTATAAGCATGGGATTTTTTCAAAAGCTCTCCCAGCTGGCCCAGCTCTGTTCCCAGCTAAACACACACAGTTTTACAACGCACTTTCATGGTCAACAGGAGAGTCAGAGGCCAGTTTCAAAAGCTTCTAACGTCTCTTGCCCCAAGGCCAACATCTCTGGAGGGATCCTTTTAATGCGGGGCCAGGAAACAAATTTACAGCATGCTTTTTGTGAACTATCTTATAACATCGATAGTGTTTCAGGTGGTAGAAATCCACCGTGAATAATTCATCAGATACATTCTGGCACATCTCCTGTGCAAAAGAGAATTATTCACAAACATTTGTGTTTTTTTAAGTAGACCTATAGATGGTAACATATGGTAAGCAGCAATGAGAGGCTCATTTCTTTTTTATCTTCCAATAGAGAGAGGTATTTATGGCTGCTTTTCCTCATTACTAACAACAGAAACAGTACCGGCTTTCAAAGCCCGTCTGCTGTGGTGTAGGCAGCAAACAGACACAATAAGGTGGATGGATGCACGCTCCCTGCTGTGTGACTGGAGCCCACCACTCACCTTCAAATCCCTGTGGATTATTGGCGTTTTACACTGATGCAACCTGGCTACGGCTTCACAGGTGTCGCAGAAGATCTGCAGGACCTCATTCTCCGTGAAGCCCGTCTGCAGGCGCTGGTTCATGAGGTTCACCACTTGACCTCCTGAGGAGAAAAACAAACCACCAAGAATCAGAGCAGGTACGCAAAATGAGACAGACACACCTTGTCTTAGTCAGCTCCCCACCAAACTGCGCCTGTACAGTCAGCACAAGAGAAGTTCATGAGTTCAGATTCAAAATTCGCACCAAGCCTTCCCCAGAGGCTTTTTGCAATCTGCTTACTCATCTTGTTTCGTTCCCGTTTCCTCACCTAAATCCCAGGGGGTTTTGCATATCTGCCGGCAGGCGTTGCCTCTCGTCTTGTCTTTGAACAATGCTCCAAGAGCAGCAAATTAGCTTCTAAGGCCCACATCCACCTGCCTGGGTTAACACTCAAATGTAACTCTGACTAAGCTGCATCTTCTTCTTCCTCAAAATAAGACTTTTTTATCAAAATAAAGGAATAAATGGCTGAGTTTGGAGCACTCAGGTAGAAAGAGAGTCTCAGAAAACCCATATGCTACTAAATGGCTTGGCTAAAACCATAGACTGGGGAAAAAAAAAAAAAAAGTCAGTCTGTAACAAGGGAACCTCCAGACACACAAAAGCAAGTTTCCAGGAAGGAGTCCTGAATTTGCCTCAACTTTGAGGTTTTCTTGCTGTCAAGGCTTTTTCAAAACAATCCACACAGATGTTCTTTCCCCTCTCAAAAAACCCTACCTACACAGAACAACGCTCCTTTCCGAACACTCCTTTGCTCCTTGGCAAAGCAAAACCATATCACTTCACAGCACAAGGGTCGGAAAACTTTATTTTCATGGTACAAAAGAGAAGCTCGGCTTAACAAACAGTACAGCTGTGAACATTCTGTGCTCAAAGTGAGCGCTCTTCTGCACACACAGACACTGATTTTGTTTGGAAGCTGTCTGAGACAAAAGGAAAATAACAAGGGAAAATCCAATGTATAACAGTAATTCCCGTGCTTCAGTCTGACCGTTGGAGACAAAGGCAGGTGTGTGCGGAGCAGAGCATCTGGCAAGAGCAGAAATACCACCTCGCAGCCCTCCTCCTTTCAGCCGGAAGGAAACACCTCAGAAAGATGGATTTTAGTTCATCAGCCCAAGATCTGGCACAGAGGGGAGGGTAATGCAGCGGGAGGGAGTTCAGAATTCCTACGGCTTGCACTTCCCCCCGCAGTGGGGTCTGTGATCTGGAGCTGAGCACCGCCAGGTCTATTTCTTACAACACTCCCTGGGATGTTTAATTTTAAGTGTATGGAGAACTTACACAGCAATTCCTTCAGCAAAACTGCACAGAAGGTTCTCCCTTTCAAGCCAACACAAGTTAGTCAGGATTCCTCCATCAAAACGAAGCAGCAAAGAGGGCATGGTGGAACAGAAAGCTGTACGTGTTTAAAGGCATTTTAGCATCTTGTTGTTCTTGCCACACTGCACCTGGCTTCAGTTAAAAGCCAAACAATCCCAAGAATACCTGTTTCCATCAGTGGCCACCACCCAAAACAGCTAAAGACTTCTGATGCCACCTGGCCAAAGCTTTATTTTTGCTTAACGCTATTCCTGTGAGAGGCATTTGAGCACAGCACATGCGTCATTTTTCCACATCCTAGCCACAAGAGATCAAAGCTGTGGGGCAGCTGGAAAAGACTGGAAGAGCCTGTCTGGCTAGTGACAGCCAAGTAAAAAGGTCAGAGGTAAAGGGAATACTTTTTGGCTTCACATTATCCATTTCAAGCTTCTTCCAGAACAATCCTAAGGTAGGCTGAAGTGGAAAAAACTTGCAATACAACAAAGTGAAGAAGAATTTCATTCCACAGCCTGGCAGCTTTAGAAGAGCCACTTCTTGTGTGGACCAGCCTATAGAAAACAGCAAAATATATTTAAGGGTTCTCCTGCACAACAGAAAGGATTTCGGACCACCGTGGCCAGAAGCAAAGGCGGTACCAATCCCACTAACAGAGTCAACATGGCCTCACATGTCATCCACTTCTCCACGCCCAGTTTTGGCTTTGCTTTGTTCAGAACAATTCCTTGGTAGCCAAGGACGGGCCAGGCCTAGGAATAAGTTTGGTTTTTTTAAAGGAAGATGTTGTGTAAGCTTCCTCTGAGCACTGAAAATGGACAAAACTAAATACATTGAGCCCACACTCACCTCGACAGAAGTCCATTAGTATCAGCACTTCCCAGACGTCACCGCTGCTGACTGAGTTTATACTGGAATCAATGTATCCGACAATGTTCTTGTGGCCAGAGAGGTCCCGCTGTAAAATAAACAAACTCAAAGCATAATCTGCCATACAGAGCGAGTTACATTTTAATCCTGTTCCTCCACACTGCAGAGCTTCCCCAGCTCTTCTGTATAGGCACAAGCTTCTGTCGCTTTGGATTAATCATCACACAAAACCTGAACAAAGCTGAGGTCTGTCTCTACCTGTTTTCCTTCCAGAAGGATTTGAGACAAACAGCAGAGAAACAGAAAAACCGATGAACTAATTTGTGCTGGGATCAGTCCAGATTTTTGCAATTTCCCTTACATGGCCCAGGCCAAGCCACCCAGAGCTTCTTCGCCTTTACGCAGAGGGGAGAACAAGGCAGATGTTTCGTGGTGGCCACACAGTTTGTGTTGTCCTTGCTTTTCTCATCTCCTGCCACTCCTCTGCTGGCAAGAAGCATCTCAAATCTTCGCATGCTCAAAAAACCCCACTAAGGTAATAAATTCTAACCCTATTTTTACAAGTACCTTGTTCTACGTAACTCAATGGATTAAAGCACAAGTTCTCATATCAATGACTTATCCATGACACATGCTAAACTTGCAAGGAAAAGTCATTTCTTTGGGACTGCCAGTGTCACACACCCTCCCAGGCGTGACAGTCAGTCCAGGTCCATGTTCAGCTTCACCAGCAAAAGAAATCAAGATTCTGCTATCATGCTGCAGAGCTGCAAAAAGTTCAGTTACGTTTAAAATACTTCTTTATTGCACAAAAGCTAGGAAAGAAGAAAACATTTCCTTTTAGTAACATACTGGTTCTTCAGGACAACGATTAGTGCTCATGATAAGGTTCAGTGCAGAAGCAAGCAGACCTGCCAGGGAAGAAGGATCCTTCTCACCCTCACTGTCCAGGTTAGCCACTCTCAAAGAGGCACCAAGGACACAGAGACAATGGAGAGCACCAGCAAGTAAAATCCAAGTAAACAAACTTTGTGAGCGCTACTAAAACCTTTGATGCAAGATCTAATCTCGACTTTTCCCATGTAGCATTAGCTACGGTGATGACAAAGCATGCCCAACAGCTTCACTGCACTATCACATGAACTCCAGAAGTTACCTTTAAAGGTATTAACCTCATTAAAAGCTACTTACAAACACACCCAGAACTGCTACAGTTAAGAGCTTCTGATATGAAGATCGTCTACCCTAAACCTATGCCTTGAGTTGTAAATTTGCAGGATGAGGGTTTTATGTTTCCTTCCCCCTGTTGCAGTTGCTCTAAGTGTTCATAAAGATCTTTGAATGCAACTGCAAGAGTGGCACTTGCCATGTTTACCAGGCTCCAAAGGAGACTAAGCAAATCTATTTGAATCATCTTAATTTTTGTTTTGAGACACTAAGTGTAAAACAGATATTAAAAACAGCTATCTTACAACTAGTCCTTGTATCCCATAATCTAGAGAAACATCCCAGTGCTTTTTATAAGCACTTCCCCGTTTCAAAAGCCCAGGCAGCTCCTACCCCACAAATAACTAACTGTTCTCAGTCAATCAACCCCACCAATCCTGGAGACAGCTTTCATCCCAACCCGAAAGATCGGAAACTGTTGCGACACAAATTCATCTCAGGATGGAGGCCTTCCATTCACGTATTGAGTTCAGAGACATTCAGAGTTCCATCAGAACCACCAGCCTTTTCTGATGAAGGCTAAAGGGCTGAGGTCTTCTGACCTGAAGATTGTTAGAATTTGAAGTCTAACACCTTCAGCCATGCTCACCTCCTCCTTCGGCTCTTCCCTTTCCCATTAAGCCATGGGGTGACATAGGAGTTTTTTCCTCCCCTAGTTTTCCTGACATTCTCTCTGCTTTTTCAGCTCCCATGTTTTTCTTGTCCATTGAAACCACTTAAATTTTAAATAATTCAATATAAGATTTTCCCATGGTCGCATAACTCCAGGACTTAGGTCTTTCCAAAAGACAGTTTAGCTAAGAAAACACACAGTTTGCGACACGATGCTACACAGATCGCAGGCAGAAGGTGACCAGGCTCTCACACCATTCCCTCCCAGTCTGGGGCCCCAGTACAAAGCAGGGACTCACCATGATTTGGATTTCTCTTTTGCAGACTTGCAAGTCATACTCGTTATTGACGTACATCCGCTTCAGGGCACATTTCATCCCATTGTTAGTCCTCACAAGAAACACTATTGCAAATCCACCTGCGGAAGACACAAAATCATATTATTTGTTAGCAAAGAAGCCTCTTGGTCCCTGCTTCCAGCCCCGTCCCTGCCTCCACCTGCCTTCAGAGCACTCGGCAGCTACCAACAGCGCTGCGGTGGGAGCGCCCCTCACATGTGCTTGGCTCCAGAGCTTCCAACTCTGCCTGAACTGTTATTGCTGGGAACTAAAAGGAATCCAAGGAGGCAAACCTTCAGTTAATGGAAGCAAAGTTAACATCTCCATAAAAGCAAGCAGTTACACCGGCTACTTGTCCTGACAGACAGTCCGGCGTTGCTCCATTAATTTCCACTATGAAGAAGAAAGCTGAAGTATAAACAGCAGTGTTGCCTTGGACAGAAATCAGAGCTACAGGATCATCTACTGGATTACTAAAAGCCTGAACTTAAAAGGTTTCCCAGCTTTTGAAGCATCTAAGTTATTATTTGTGCAAGAAGCAGAAGCAGCCCATCTCCTACCCATGGTTTGACATTAGTGCTTTTAAAAAAAGGACAGAATAACAACAAAACAAAAAAGCAAACAACCCACAATTCATTTTGTGGTCATTGCTATTAGCGAAGTCAGGACTCCCAGGACATCCACAACTTGTTTAGGATGAAAGCCTTTCATCTCTGTTAGCAACGCATCAAAACAGATGGGTTTTACATTTGTAGTCCTGGACGGAAATAGGAAGCTGATTGAGGATGGAGGTATAGAGGCATCAAAGATTCCCACCTGGCTCCCAGAGATCAGAACAAAGAGTCACTCATACCCAAGAAGTGCCGCACAACGGGAAAAAGGGAAGCACGGTGGCATTGACAATGCTGCAGCCTAACAGCGCTTCGTTTGCTCTCTGCTACCTGACATTACCGCACACATTTCTGTTCTGCTTAAGGATTTCTAAAGAATCCACGCAATAGTAAGTCGTGATTCGGTGCTGCCGTAGCCTTCAGAAGTCCCAGTACACCACGAGTTCTAGCTCCATACCATAAAAAGCTACTCGTATCCCAAAGAATTCTCATTTTCAACGAGTGAGCCCCATTCTTTACAAGCTGCCAGAAATCACCAGATCAACAATATATATTTAGTTACATTTGACATGCTTGTACATAATTATTACTAATGGTTGTTCAGCACTTAAGAGTTCTTCCCCATCGTGCAAAATGTGACAAGCAAGAAAGCCACGTTTGGGTAAAATTTAGTGTTAAAATAGGCTGCGTTGGACCATGCCAGTCTTGCAACAATAGGTGCTTACAAGCTGTTAACAAATCAAACACCACAGCCAAAAGGCCCACTGAAGCTTTTACTAAAAGTAGGATTTATTTTTCCAAATAAAAAGATTGAAAAAGAGCAAATGACCAGACTATGCTGCTGTATTCAAAGTATAACCCTCCCCATCTGCTCTCCAAAAGCTTTTATGGAAGAGTTACACACACAAATAACATGCCAGTCAGCACCAGAGCTGTTAAAAAAAAAAATCTCTCTTAGCATGCAAACCCCTTGGTTTTACACATCATAGTTTTCCACAGGAACTAGACCAGGTTTTCCGAGGAAGCCCCACTGATTTTTAGGAGCAAAACTAACTGGTAGCAGCCCCAGAAAAACTGCAAAAAGATGCAACAGAAAAAGAAAAAAAAAAAAAAGTGTCAAGACTTCAGTTAAAATGTCTTAAAAACTATAACCAGGCTGCAAAATGGAAACTCAAATTCAGAAAAATGGGACATGGCCCCAGGTCACTGCAAGCCCTGCAGATGCTGCTCACTCCTGACAGAGAGGGTTTTTAAACCCGTGCAGTTCTGGAGGGCCTCATTTCTTCACAATGCTCAAATTCAGACACAAAAATAACCCCGACTCTCTCCCTTAAGCTGCTTCGAGTCGAGGCTCTCGGATTACAAGCCGTTTTTAAGAACTCCTAAACCCACAGTGGTAGCCTTATTGTTCTACCCTAGCCACATTTGTCTCATTTCTGGAGAACAAGTCTGCACATCCCGCTGTGCTACCTTCAGCCAAAGGATGGCTATGTTGAAAAAAGCTAGACAGCACTCAACCGATTTTTTCCCCCCCTCTTATAACCCACAACGGAGCCAGTAAGAAATAAGGGACCCATAACCAGCACGGCTTCCCCAATCCCTGCTTTCTTAACACATTACGCTTTTTAAAGTCATTGGAAAGATCACATTTTGACTTATTTTTTTAATTTCCACAGATCATGGATAAAATCTAGAGAAAACTTTATTTTTTAATTACAGTCTCTTGGGTCATCATCAAAAGTTTTTGAGCATGACAAGATAGGTTTTTTTTTTTTCCTTTTTCCTAATGGGAAAGTCAGAAGTCGTCCATCAGAAGCCTCCCCTCCTCTCCGGGGGTTCAGTTCCCTTCTCACAGCTCCTCCCGCCAGCTCTGGAGGCCAGCAGGATGCTGTATCCGTTTACAGGGCTCCGCTCAGCAGAAACACGAGCTGAGCAGTAAAAAGACAGCAATTAAACTTCATTTTTAAAAAAGGTAGATCCACTAAATCCAAAGACCTGCTTCTTCAGCTGAAGTGGGACTGGTACCTCCTCAGACCAACTGCTAATGTCTCATTAGCAAAGTTTTGGGCAAGGTACCTTTTCCCTCGTCTGGATCCTGTGCTAATGAACAAAGTCACTCCTAGAGCAGCCTCGCTACTCTAGGTGCATCGTGCTATTTCACTTACAAGCAACCAGGGCCAACTGGCAAAGAAAACTACAGTCTGTGCAACGGAGAACACAGCTAAACCATCCCGAGAGCTCAAAGGAATGAGAAATGTAAAATCTAAAAATAAAATAAAATAAAGTTAATGTTTTCTGATACAGGACAGTAACATCAGCACATAGGGACCTGACAGAAACACGGCCCAGAGCATCTTCCAAGGGAGCAGTGAGAGACGAACACGTCAGGTGGAGCCACGTCCAAAGAAGAAGCCTGAAACGTCTGCAGAGTTGTCACACTACTTCTACAAGTCGTAGGAAAATTACATCCTCATGTCCTTCTCTCCCTTACCTTTAACTCCTGCAAACTTCAGCTGACGACACCACACACGGAAGCCGTGCAAAATCATTGAACTTATTTTGTCTGCAAATACACCTACCAATTTGGTTACTTTATTATTAAACTCCCACTGACTGCAGATTCAACTATGACAACTTTGCTACTAGTACAAGCAGCGTGCTTCTCTCCAGAGAAAACAAGCATTGATTTCATCAGCGTACACACAGCAATTTTTACACAGCAATCTACAGTAAGCGACTTTGCCATCAGAGAAGCAAAATTTGACGATCCACATCCATTCGAGTGAGGCTGCAAAGTTTTACTTTCTAAACAAGTAATACACCATCTGATTGCCTCAGCTAAAACAGACCATAATATTCCTGACAAACTACTGTTTGCTGAGCCCAGGTTTGGACTGTACCCAGGATTTAGTCCAGAAGGGCGCAACACAATCAAGAATGTCTAACTTCCCTCGAGCAGTCATTCCACATTTAAATCTGAAAAAGTGTGAAAAATGCCCCCTTAACCTGAATTTCTCGCCATTTATTACACACCTTCTGCTGCTAATTGGCTTCAGCACTCCCAGTTCTGCACGCAGAGAAGGGGACTGCGAACCATTCAGAAAACAGCAGCAGGATAAGGGAAGTAGAAAGGGACAGAGAAAGAGCACAAAGAACAGCAGTTTCTTGCCACACTCCTCATATACAAACAGCTCGAGAAATACAAGAGCCAAGGACATGAGCAGGACATACGGGACAATTTTGAGAATATCAAGAACCTGCACCTGCAAACTGGCTTCCAAGGGAAGCAGCAGGTACCCAGACAGGGCAGAGAACTCAGCTTTCACGCATCACACGCATATTTACAGAATCAGGGTTTGATCACATCCACGTGCCAGAGTAAATCAGAGCTAAACGGGATCCTGCTCCTTCCAGGAGAGCTTTGGGCTGAAGGTCTTTCCAGGGCAAAGTCAGAGCTATATGTCCATGTGATTATAGGTTTCTCATTAAACAACCGCTGCGTATCTGAATGTCTGGAGATGGCAGGGATGCCTTTAGTGATCTGTACCTAGACCTAGAGAGATTTCCTTTTAAGTTTCTTGTGCACAAGAGATGATTTTGGAGCTTTGGTCTATCCTTCAGCTCCCAAGTCCCTTGCACATTTATTACTGACTGCTCCTGAACTGCAGATCCTGCTAAAGAAAATAGCACTTGCCCAAAACTGTTGAATTGCAAAAAAGGGTAACAGTAACACCACATCATCTTTTTAAAGTCAGGGTTAAGGTGCATAAGTAGGTCACGAGCTAAAACACTTGAAGCATTTTGACACACTTGAAACTTTTTTATTGGCAACTGTGGCCAATGCTTCAGACCCAGTCTAAAAGAGCAGTTCCAGAAGGATCTGTACTCCTACAGCTGCCTCAAAAGCAGCAACTTTGTTGGTAAGCAGCAGACAGAAAATCAGTTCACATTTTTCAGCAAGGTAGGACAGAGAAGGGAAGGAGGACCCCATAGATGGCTGAAATTTTCACTTGGCAGCATTAGACAGCACGGAACAGCGACACTGTACAGCACAGCGCAGGAAGGGACTATCAAGCCCCTGGACCACAGCCAACACTCCCTAACGAAGACTTTCTAATGGATTTAAGAGTTCTCTTTCACCTGCCACGCAGCATGATGGGACCTGTTTGCAGAAGCTGATGGACGTCTTCTGGGTGCTGCCCAGCACTCACTGTCTGCCTGGTCATCGCTGCACTGAACCAGCAGGTCACCCGGCACACATCTGAGCTCTGATGGTTTTTCACAACATAATACACTTACTTTAGCTTTTAACCATCTTACCAACAGCTGTTCCCCACTGGTTAAACCTTCCTCCTTGAACACTACCCACCACCTCGTCAGCCTCAAGGACAACTTTCACCTTCCAGAGCCTCAGACCACAACCGATTTCTCCTTCCTTATTCTAAAGGGTTCTATTCTTATTGCTAA